TAAATTTTTAACTTTATTAAAAATTTCATTATAAATATTTATTGAAGAAACTTCATATATAAGTAATATTAGATTAATATATATAGTTATATACTTTATTCTAAAAATTTAATTTATAAGAAATATATAGTTTTTTATTTTTTAATTAATAAAAATTTGAAAAAGGCATTATTTAATATTTAAAAAATATTATTCAAAAATATTTAATATATTACAATAATACAATAAAAAATTAATAAGAAACTTTTAACAGATTTTAAAACATAATATAAAAAACTATTAATAAAATTAAAATTAAATATATTTTTAAATTTAAAGTTAAAAAAAAAATCATAAAACAAAACCAATAAAAATTGAATATTATATAATAAAGACAAACAATATTTTAAATATAATTTTTGCTAATTGATTTACAAATTTAATTACAAATATTTATAAATATATTTTATAAATTAATAAATTAATTGAAAGAAAATTAATTAAAAAAATTAATTAAAAAAAATTTGTATATTTTTTTATAAATAAAAAAAAAAAAACATTATTTTTGACAAATTAATTACTTAATATAATTTTATTATAATAATTATAGAATTTACAAAAATTAAAAAAAAATTAATTGTAAAATATTTTTAATATTTTTATAATTAAACTTTATTTCAAAAAGATCAAAACTTATAAAGACAAGAAATTGTATCAAGATTAAAAATAAAAGAATATAATATAATACATATATTTAAGAGATATTATATTTGAAAAAAATTAATAATTATATTTTTTTAAACAAAAATTTTTTAATAAATAACAATACAATCTCAATTATTTAATTTCAAAAAATTCAAACTAACAATATAATTTCAATTTAATCAAACAAAAACAATTAAAAAAATATTTACAAAAATAATTAACAACAAATTTTAACATCTAAAGAAATATATAAATAATCACTTGTTGTTATCAATTATATTATGAAAGAAGCAAGAGCAATAGGCAAAAAGTTATAAATATTCATACAAGACATCAACAAAGTATATAGCTTAATAAAATATAATACATACACTTAATCAAGATTCTATTCACAATAATCAAAAAAGAAATTACAATAATATAAAAAAATCAATAACTGATAATTAGATCTAAAAATTCATTTTTGAAGCAATTTTATTGATTACAAGAATTTAAGATAATCATATGAAAATTCTAATAATAATAATATTTTTATATACTGTATACTTGTATCATTTTTTATTTTTCCTTTCTTTAAAACGAATACCGTATTGGGTTACGTGGCCAGGCTTTAGCAACTAAATAGTCATGCGAATTTGCATAATCGACAGAGTACTTAAATTCTTTAGGCGCAATGATATTTAATGTTAAATGACAATACGCACAGCACAACTCATGAATTGTTAGCGAATACATATTTGGATGTTTCGGTAGAGTCAAAATGAATATTATTACATTGAATTATCACAGGACTCTGAAGCTTTGACAAATTGTAACTTTTAGGAAAATTCATCGTTTTCTTTTCTTTTTTTTTGAGAATGTGCCGTGAGTACCGGTAAATAAAATTCATACAATCACAGTTCGTCAACAACATTCTTCCATGCAACAGCATAAACAAGCTCCGAGGGCGCTGTATATCATTTAAACAAATGTCAATAATAATAATTTAGGTAGCGTATTATGAACAAAAAAAGAGATATTAACCATCCTAGACACAGGCCATCATTCTTCTTTTTTTCCGGTTCTTGTTGAACGATGATAGTCTGCGGCGGTGGAGTAGGTGCGTATTGTTGTTGTGGTGGATAGTATCCTTGTGGTGGTGGTGGTGGTGGATATTGACCCTATTTCATTTTTTATTATTTTTTATTGATTTATGAAAATTTGAGTAATTTGGAAACAAACAATAAATTGCATTATCTTTCTTTAACTCGAGAAGCAAACCTGTGGTGGCGGATATTGTTGCGGATATTGTTGTTGGGGATATCCAGACATTTTTTGAAATTTACCAGAATACTTGGTCGGGGTCCTTTTAGATTGAAATCCCTTAAATACCGATTTGCTGCTGACGTTAATCAAAATCGGTTTATCAATGCCAATTTAGGTCAGCCCCCATCTTCTCACCTTCCGTGATAATATCCTTATTAAGAAATCGGGAAAATATCATTTCTACAATAGGAATTGACAACGCCAAGAACTTTACCAATTCTACAATAGGACCAACAACGCCAAGAACTTTACTAAATTCTTTAAAGATTTTTATTGGTTCCAAATATGAACTAACTAAAGTTGGTAATGAGTCCCGTTACCCCGATTTGTTTCTAAAATTACACTTGCCGATTATTTTAATATCTTTTCTTCTATAAATCTATATTTAAAATATAATTACATTAATTACATAACACGCGTAATTTCGAAATCTTATTTTTTTCTACTTTTCACCTCCGGCCCATACATCTTCAAAAATTTTTCAAATGTGTTCACATATAAAAGCGTCAATACTTCCTCTCGAGCGCTTTCATACATGGACAAATCGTATTGTCCTCTTTCAATCTTTTCCTTCACTTTGTTCAACAAACTTCCAGAGAAATTGATTGAAAGATCTGAATCCGGATTCAAGAATGTATCATAAAACATTTTATAATTGGATTTTAATTCGTATGGGAATGGTATCCATGATGCTGCTGTGACGGTTTCTACAATAGATTTCGTGCACGGCGTGTTGGTTATGAAACTTAGGGACAATGGTGATAAAGGCATTGAGGGAAATCTTGGTGTCTCCGGGAATGAGATGTGACCAGTCTCAGCGAAGACGAGTTTTGGTGTTGGTGGTGGTAATAATTCTCGGTTTGATGGAGTGCAACATCGACTCACTAGTACTTTTAGGTGTTGGAATTCTTTCAGGAAGAGAATGAGTTCCGTGCAAAAACAGGCCGCTGCACATGCTGCATAATAAAATCGTTTTAAAGATTATTGCGATGAAAAAACTTTCAAGGCTTCTGTGAAATGATTTTTTTTTTTTTTTAGAGAGAGAGAATTCACCTTTATAGAGTTCAAATAATCTAGCGTCTTCCAAGACTTTTTCAAACAATTCATATTTTTTTGATTTCAACGTGGTTTGTTGATTCGACCCAGTTCCACTTGACGACGAATCAAAGACTTCCATCACGGTTGGTTTTCTGTATGATTTCCACACAGGTAAAGTTATGGACATAGTGTGACATATCATGAAAGAGAACCATGAGAACATGAAACTCCCGAAATAGTCACGCAATCTTGGAGTCAATAGTTCCCAAATGAAAAACATGACGAAGGAGATTAATCCGCTAATAATTTTTGTCAGGAGCTCATTTTTTAGACCGAAAGCATCTTGAACGTTGTACAAGAGGTAGTAAAGGACAGGACAAATTATGACAAGGAATATTATTATGATTATGATTATTGGGATGTGCCTGTGAGATTTTATGATTGGTCACGTGAGTTATGAATAAAATTGAAATTAGAGCGCGACAATGCGATACGTACTCGGCCCCAACCGGGCATACTGTTTTCACTGGACGGATGGAAAGTTGAGGCATCAAAATTTGCATGACGAGAGCGAGAAGAAAAGCAAATCCAAGAATCGGATATAAAACCCACGTTGACAACCATTTGTCTGTCGCATAACGTTTAAACTTCTTTAATCGAACCATTGATCGCAAACTCGGAAAATCAAAATCTCCCATTTCCCCCATGGAACCCTCAGGAGTTTTTGGCGTCTTCGGTAAATGGAAGTTTGAATTGCATGACACGCTCATTCTTAATTTGACAATATTGTACCTTGCCACCCAGGTGAATGAAAGTACTCTACAAGTTAACGCTGAGAAATACAAAAAAAAACCTATGTAAGATGTCCAGTGTATGATAAAGCAAGGGAATTCATTGGGGTAGAATCCCGAGCGAAAGCAAAACATCACGCACAGCATGATTGTAGCCAAGGAATTGAAGAGGTTCAGTCGTAAGGGACGAAATTGAATATCCAAGATCTTATGTCTTCTTAGGTAAAATAGAATTACGGTGGTTGTGAGATAAATAAATGTTAGGATCCCGAGTGCTGAATAAATTCCCTTTCTCCATGATGGTATGGCGTCTGCAAATTCCCCTCCATGTGAACCGGCCCGGTGTGTGGGTAAAATAGTATTACTGTGCAAAACTCTTGTTGCTGACATATTTGTACTTTTGATAATGAGGTGAATTATTTGGTGCCAGATTGTATTAATCTGTCCTATTATTTATCGAGTCACTCTTCTTGATTATTATCATAAACCTCTGATGTCTCAAGAACGAGTATTGTATAGACACTGCGTTCTGTTCCTTTTATTTTCAGAGCCCCCCAAAAGAAAGAAAACAGTTATTCAAAGGACAGAAGAATTTTGTAAAAACCGATTATATTGTTGTGAAGAACAATTGGTGTTAAAAGGGACATCCAACTTTTTAAACATTTCATGCATATGTGCAGTATATGAGGTGTTCCAACACGAAGACGATTGCACTAATGAAATTTAATTCGTTTTGTGTTACGAATTCCTCTGATCCAAAATAGTTGGGGTGCGTTAAGTCGTTTCATATTGTATAAGTAATGCGACGATGGTACATAAAGTTTAGAAGGTTAGGAATTTACTTTCTTAGAACAAAAACTTAATTAACTGTAACTGTCGCAGTGGCCTTGATTATACCAATTGCAACAAGAATTGTGATTATCTATTTCAATATATGAGTATACTCCAGGGCTAAGTGAAACATGCGCCTTTAGATTTTATCCCTTGGAAAAAATTTTGATAGCCAATTAAAATAGAAACCGTATAATTCGAGAAGGAAACTTCGTTTGAACACGCAAAAACATTTGTACTATGTCTCACCATCGAGTTTGTCTTTAATCCCCGATAAGTAAGTTTATTATGAGGATTGCCATTTTTATATATCCTGCGTAAATGTTTCCATTTTGGAAACAACACGACAATCAACCTGTTCAACATTAGTTCATTAAATTGATCGTTGTTCATGAAACGAATTTATTATAACTTTCTTTTTTTTTTTTAACATTTAGAAATACGCACATCTTGTTTTCCTCAATTATTATAATCCCACGTATATTCAAGCAAAAAAAAACTTTTTCCTTTATTCACGAATAATAATAATAATAATATAACGATGTGTGACAAAATAAAAAGATGTTTTAACGGTTATTGTCAGTTTGTAACAAGATGCAATATAGTTCTCTTTGTTCCGGATAATAAAAAACACAACCTCTTACATATTAACATGTAAATATTTACGTCATATATAAATTTAATTAAAAATTATATATACAGTTAGGATTCGAAAATTTTATAAAACTATACTGCACATGGTATATCGAAAAATATACAGTTTGGTTATATTGAAGATATAAAGGACCAATAAATTATAAAAAAAACATTTTTTTTTTATAAATACATTGGTGAATTATAATTAACAATACAATTTATTTATTTAAAAGTAAATATACTGTATATATAATTAATTATATACCTTGATATTATATTATATTATATAAAAACAAAAAAATTTTTTAAAAAAATTTTATATCAAAATAATTTGAAGATTTCTAAAGTAAATATAACATATAATTTTTGAATATTATTTTAAACCATTTTAAAAAATCTAATTAATTAAACTTGATTTTGCTTTTTTTAAATAATTGCTATATAATATTTCATAATAGTAGTTTTTTTATATTTAATAAATATAAATTAATTTTTATAATTTTTTAGATTTTGCAATTTATTATTAATTTTAAAATTTTTCTTAACAATTAATAAAAATATTTAAAATAATTTTTTTAAAATTTGTTATAATAATTATTATTTTTAAATCATGATTTAATATAATATTTATTTGTTATATAGTGTGGTGCAAAAAATTTTAGAATTATTTATTTATTTATTACTTAAAAACTATTGCATAGAGATTAATAAAAAACATATCAAAATAAAGCTAAAAATCTAAAGATTTTATTAATAGATAATTAATAATTAATTTTTTCATCATTATTTTTAATTATTAATTTACATTTCTCTTTTATTGAATTTACAAAATTATTATTTGGAATTTTATTTCATTCTTCTATTATAAATTGTTTTAATTCTAAAATATTTTTTGATAATCTTATTTCTACATTTTTTTTAGTAATAGTTCAAAGATTTTTAATAGGATTTAAATCTGAACTATTAGAAGACCAATCAATAATTTCAGAAAAATTTTCATTTAAAAATATTTTAGCAATTTTACTTATATGCTTGAAATCATTATCTTGTTGAAAGCACCAATTGTTTTCAAGTAGTTTATTAATTTCTTGTTTATGATTTTATAAAATTTTGATATAAAATTTTGCATCTATAATTTCTTTAAAACAAAAAAAAAGAAGTTTTTTCTTTTGTACAAAATTCTTTCTATACAAAGATTTTAGTATGATCTTTAAGCATTCTTTTAACTGATCTTGCACTTTTATACCATTAAGTAATTATATTTCTGAATAGTTAAAATACTGTTTTATTAGAAAATAATGTTTTTTCCAGTTATTATCAAAATATTTTTTTGTTCAAATAACAGGAGCTTCTTTATAAGCAATAATAAACATAAGTATTTCTAAAGATAAATTATTTTTATAATTCATATTGGCCAAATGTTTTAAAATTGTTAAATGTGATATTTTGATATTAATATTTGATAATTTAATTGTCAAAATTCTTGAAGAAAGTCTTGAATTATGATATAAATATTAATCAATTGTTTTTGATTCATATGTTATAATCTTTTTAGAACAACCACTATCAGATTTTCTTGAATTATTGTTTTTTGAATTCAATTTTTTGAATTTTATATGCAAAAGTGATTCTATTATTTCACAAATATAATATAGTTTGTTGTTGAATATTTTTTTTAAAAAGTAACATTGTAAAAATAAATTTGTAACAAAAATAAAATAATCAAATAATTTTAAGTACCTATATATATTGTTTGAAATATATTATTTATATATTTAAAATTTTATATGAATTGCTTTTGTTTTGAAAAAGTTATATGTATTTATATTATATAAATAATATTCCAAAATTTTTTGCATCATATTGTATCTCTTTATTTAATTTATATATATTTACATCATGTATTATAGAAAGTTACTACCTATAAATTATTTTAGATAATCATTTGATTATATCAGATTTTATTTCATATTGGCTTGTTGCTATTGGTTATAAATCTAAAGATTTATTTGTATTAAGACTAATATACTAAAGTTTTATTAATATCATTATTATATATTAAGTTCTATTTCTAATCAAGAATGTATTAAAGGAAATTTGAAAAAAAAGAACTGGAAATAGTATTTATTAGACAAATAGAACTCTTGTAAAGAAATATTTTTAAATTTGATTATATACAAATAGGCAAACTATTTAATTTCTATCTTTTTAAAGCTACTCAAGAACATTTAAGAAACTTATTTTATAGACTTATTGCCTATAAATTATTTTAACTATTAGCATTTACTACTATTTTGATTACCTTCTTGGAATAAGTAATTGTTGAAGTAATCTATTATTGGATTGAAATAAGACCTTTTCAAAAATTTGTAAAAAAAAGACACTAAATATTATAAAAAAAACAATTACTAAACTATTTTACTGAAAATAGACATCTTATACATCTTATAACTTTTGATAATTATCATAATATCAATTAGATAATTGTCACATTATGACAACTTTTCTGAAAATTACAATTTCAACATTTGCTAAATCAATATATAAAACAGTTTTTTATAAAAAACAATATTTTTAATAGGTTATAGTACAGACATCATATTAATTATATTCAATTACCTTTATATAAAGTTGAACTAGTATCTTGTAATTTGGTCTGTAGAGTACTAACCACTATGTAGGGCTCCTAACGATACCACTTCGATACAACTTCGATACCAGTTCGATACTTAAATTTATTATAAAAACATATGAGTAGGTCACAACCCATATATTAAATTTACTA